CATCCCACGTGTTACTGACCCCGGTACCCAGCCCAAATGGTACAGACTAATTTCATGTACAAGATCCCGTAAAAACCCATTCCCTGGCCTCAGCGTTCTTGCCTGATGGATGGCACGGGGTAAAAAGCCAAGCACTAAACCTCACACAAACCAACCCAAGAAAACATCTGAAAAGAACTGGGGAATTGATGTTGATTTCACTTTCCTTAGCTATATAACTCAGGAATAAATACAGGTGAAATAGGCAATGAATATGGCCAGGACCCTAAGCTTGACTTTCTGGGCCCCACATGATTTGCACGGTAAGCAGGCAACACTCCAACCAGCACACCCCACCTGCCAGGCCCATCTGCCACAAGCTCACGGGCAGCCAGTGAGTCACAAAGGATGACCTACAGGATTCCTCAAAAGTGCCAGCAGTCTTGGGGAGCTGGGGCGTAAAGGAATGGGGAGAACATGCCTTGTCTTACCCTGGGACGATATGGGACAGTGCTCCTACTGTAAAAATCAGATTGGCTTAGACTTCTGGTTAATAGCAAAGGAGTTTTGAAAAGCCTCCATAAATCCTGAAACGTTGGAAGCATGGAATTAATCAGAGCCAGAAACATGACTTCGGGGGTCCTCCACGGACATTTTCCAAAGACAATGGGAAGACAGTAAATAACAGCCAATCAATAACTAATTTCAACCATGCTGTACTGATCTGTAAGTAATCTCTCCATGCATGGTGGTTTTCGGTAAGAACTCTGAAGTCCCATCTCATGAGAGCCTACCAGATTAGGAAAAGACACACGTCTCTTTCAGCCCATTGATACAGCTGGAAAACCAAGACGGATGTGACCTGAGCTCCGTCAGCTGGGGACAAGCTAACAGAAGGTGACCTTTGAGACCCCACCCCATCTTGCTCCATCTTCTCTACACTGGAAAATCCTTTCTCAAAAAAAAGATAAAAGTCTACTTGGGGAAACAAGAGCGCAGGTAGGATGAATTGGGAAGGGGATGCCAAAAGACAGAACTTATTTTGCAAAGCAACAGTATCTAGCATCTCTGTAGACTGCTCACACATTCAATTCAGTCCGGAGGTAATTCAAACCTCACCGCAGGATTTCCACTGTTGTAGCGATGCTAGATACAAACAGTCAGACCAGAAGTAACAGCCTATGTTAGCGCCTAGGGAGAAAAAAATAAAGCTTGCATCTATTTATGGAAGGGGACCAAAGTATAGGAGAATGACCCTTTTCTCCATCCCCGTCCTAACAAATGCAGTAGGCTTCAAGTCCTCAACACCCCAAAAAGATGCGATCAGCACTCCCACTTGTATAGGCATATAAATACAATTACTTCCTTAAAAAATAAAAACCCAACAGACTAATAGCAGTAGGCACACATCCTACGAGGCACAAGTATTTTATGGTATATACAGTTAACACCTATTTGAATCGCGTACAATGAAGCTTAATTGTTTTATTCTACGCATAGCAAAGCAACCAATTGAATCTAATATTAGTCATTCATCAGATAAAACATTTTCAGGGAAACAAACTGCTATATTTTCCCCTCAAAGAACAGCAAGCATTTTAAACACATTTTCCAGAGATGTTACGCCGAGGAAAACAGCTTAGAAATGTTACTTTAAACAAATCCGTTCTCTGGCTACCAACAACAAGACAAATTGGAACAAATGCTTGGCTCTGTTCTTTCCGAGGCTCCTTCTGTCCACCTGTCAAAGGCAGTTTTGAGCCCTCCCACCCCCCCACCCCTAGAGGCAACTTGGGAGCTGTGAAATGTGCCACCCTGCCTGGATGCCCTCTGCACGGGATGCCAGGATCCTCATTAGGGATTATCCAACTCACTCGAAGCAGGGAGAGAGGAGATGGGCCGGCTGCCAAGTGTTCTTTCAACACAGATTCCGAAAGAAGATCCTGCAAAGTGTCGAAAGCCCAGATTTTCAGCCAGTTCACTTTCTAGACTGTTACATAGCAACCAAGCCAGCTCACACAGGGTACCAACCAAGTTAATATTTTGTTTAAATGACACACTGCATTAACTCTCTAGGAAAACCCAAGTTCTCCTCGTCGACTTACCTAGGGTCAGGTACCACGGCCGGAACAGAACTCCCACGGTGAATTGATGTGCTTGTGTAATTCATTAAAAAAAAAAATTTTTTTTAACCCCAAATTTGAAAACAGATTTAACGATTTCTTGGCAGGGAGAGCAAGAGTGACTCTTCCCCGTAACCATTTGTGCTAATATTATTAAAAGTACATTAGCATTCATTTAATCTGCATAATGCCCTTTAGTAAAATATGACTTCTGCAGATGCATTTTGAAAGCGACTCATTTCATTCAAAACTTTGATTTGAAAAAGGACAACTCAATAGCACCAAACGGTCCTAGGGCTTGGGGCCATTAAATCTCCCAACACAGACAAAATTAAAACAGAGGACGCATTCAGAAAGATGGTCATTAACCCCCAGGAACCGAGCTTGACTTGTATTACGAAGAAGCATGAGGAAACCAACAGACCATGCTTTAGAATTAACTTGGGAGAACCCCATGCTTTCTTTCCTTTTGGAACAGGAAAGCACCAGCTGAAGAAACCACTAGAACACATCTACAGAGGGTTTCTGTTCTGGCAAGAATGCTGCCACAGGTCATGAGAGAAAACCAAAACAAGAAAATAAAAACAAAACCGAAAATATTCGCAGAGGCCAACTAATGTAAAAAGTACTGAATTGGCGTATTCCTGTCGAGTTAAAGTAAATGATGTTCTACTGGATTATGGGTTGGGGGCCTTGTTTTCTTTTCAACCGTCACCTTGGTTTGAATTCACATCAATTTAAGAGGGCTAGGTGGCCAAAAATTAAGTTGAGTTAAAACCTTTAACATTTTCTTCTCTGATTATAAAATCACTAATTCCCCCTGGTAAAGGTATCGAAAAATAACAAGGCTACCCAGGGGAATAATCAAGACCATCCTTCATCCAACCCCCCCCACCCCCGCCAGCAGATGGCTTACTAACCCAGGCAGGCATACTCCTAGGAGCGTGAGGGAGATGCTGGTCTCGGGAGTTTTGAAGGCTATCAAGAGATCCAAAAGTCATGTCCACAGCCTTGGGCACTTTTGTAGGAAAAGAGAAGAAGGAAATTGCCCACTGTTGCTTCACTACAACAACTGGACCATCAGCTAAGTATCTCAGTGTCCAAGTCAGGTGAGCGGATCAGGGCCGTACTGACCTCCTTAGCGTGCTCAGTCCGCAGCTGGACCCGGGACTCAAATGAAAGCCACTTAACTTTTCCTTGGCTGAGGAAAGGGGGCAGACGGTGGGAAATAAACCAACATTGTTCAGGGCTCCTTAGCATGGCTTTTGATTCTTAGCAGAATGCCAGTTCTTAGTGATTTCTTTAATGTTGGAAGAGCCTGGACCTATAAAGAACAAAGCATCACCACGCAGTCCAGCTCCCCCCCCCACTTTTTTCCCCCTCCAGATGCCACAGTAGAGTAACTTCCACACACAATGACAGCGCAAGGGATAAATGACACAATAACCAGCTACCCACCTTGAAAACTGCAGCAAGTAACAGCTTTACAACACCTTCCCACCATTACATCATGGCTACCTTGGTCCCAAATTCCCACCCTGATTCCTAAGACTTCTGACCAACTCCCCAAAGTACCAAGTCAACATGACTTGGAATTCTGCATAAAACTAACGTACAGACTTTTTAACACCCCGCACCACGAAAAGCACACCTTCTCCGGGGAGGTAAGGAGAAAGAGAAACTATGGGAGAAGGCATTAACAGGAACACAGACACTCTCCCACAACACTTAGGAGAAGCTCTTGAAACAACAAAACCAGAAAATTCCTCTGAACTGCTGAGCTATTGGTACCTCATACTTCATCAAGTGACATATTTATACAAGTGGCCCCCTAGACTGGATCATTTTTCTCTGCCAGATTCGGGATTTCAGCAGTTCAGTTAATTAATCGAATGATATTAATAATCAATGATACCATTTCTTAAAGAGCAATTAGGCCAAAACGGAAAAAAAAAAAAAAAAAGACTGAAAAGCCAGTCTACTCTTTGACTTTTCAATTCACAGAAACCAAACAGGACATTTTTGGATGCTTCCTCCGCCTTTAACCCTCCCAGGGGTTTCAGGGCTGCATCACTGTCAATGTCAACACCGTCCAGCTGTCTTCCCCCCCCCCCCCCCCCCAAAGTGCAAAGAGTCCTTTCCAGCGGCGGCTCCCTGCAACCCACCATCTAAGCCTTCATTTCGCCAGGAGCCCATCACTCAGCCTTTGAGGTCTAAGATTTCCCCCTGGAAAGTGCTCTCGGTGTTTATATTTGCTGGAAATTTAAACTCCCTGCTGAGCAGACCATCTACTACTGTTGCATCGATATATTCCGCTGTCCGCGCGATCTCAAAGGGGGAGAAAATAAAGTCCAGATGCAATCGAGACAAGGGGTTTGGCATCCACGGAGAGAAAGTGCAAGCCGGTTCAATCCTCTACCCCAACCAAGGCAGCGGAGCCCCGAGCTCACTCTCTGAGACAGTCTTCCCCAGAGAAGAAGCCCTCGGAACCGGGGCAGGGGGCTGGGGCGGGGGGGGAGCTGTGGCATTCACCCCTGCCGGGGGTCGGGGCAAAGGCCCAGGCACAAAAAGTTTGCCCACGGAGCCGGGGGCTGGGTGCCACCTAAAGGGCACTTTCCGCCGCGGGAGGGGCGCCGCCGGCTGCGCCTGGCTCCCGCTGGCGGCGGCCGGTGTGACCGTGTGAACCCGTGCACACTGCGCCGGGGTTTTCCTTAATGACAGCAGCCTGGAACTCCCAGCAGCGGTGCAGCGGTGGCCACCGCCGGGAGGAAAGGGTGACGAGCCACAATGCGCGCGGCGATCTCGCCCGGGGTGTGGAGGCTCCGAGTCCCCGGCCACCTCCGGCCCGGGTCCCGCTCGCTCGCCTCCCCTCCGCCCCTGGCGCCGGGTGAGCCCTACCTTGCGCGCCGAGCTGGTGGTTCTCCATGTTCGCCGCCGCCGAGTCCGCCGCCGCCGCCGAGGCGCTGGCCGCCGCTCCGGGGCCCGGGCCGGGGCCGCCGCCGCTCAGTTCCGCCAGTCTCCGGTTGGTGGCCGTGAGTTCGGCTCGCAGGTTGGTCACCTCCTGGCTGGCCGACTGGACCGCCCCATCGATGCGGAGCGCGAGCTGCTTATTGTCTTCCATCATGCTCAGGATTTTGGCCTGGGGGCGAGAGAGGTGACAAAGAGCTGCATGATGCGCGGGGGGCGCGCGGCCGGGCACCCCCGGCTCTACCTGTTGGGTCCCCCGCGGCCCGGCTCCCCCGCGCCCCGACCCCCAGGCACCGGCAGCGCCGGCTCCTCCGGCGCAGGAATGACAGCGGCGCCTCCAGCCGGAGCCGCGGCGGTAGCGAGGCGGCGTGGAGGGGGGGGGGGGGGGGAGAAAGAGGAGGAGAAGGAGGAGGAGGAGCAGCGATCGCCGAGACCCCAGCGCCGAGCGCGGCTCGGGGAAGGACACCGCGCGCCGCCCGGCACTCTTTCACTGGAGCCTACCATTCGCCGCCTGCTCCGGAGGGGGCCCGGATCTGGGCCCCAGGCGCACCCTCGGCCTCCCGCGCCCCCCACTTCGGGGACACACCCCCCCGGGGGGCGGGGGCGGCGGGCGGCGGCCGCCAATGGGCCGAGGTGGCGCCCCCGGCGAGAGGTAGGGGGCGCCTGCTCCACGGCGGGCCCTCGGTCCCCTCCCAGAAGCGGTGGGGCAGCCCCCGCCCCGGCTAGCAGGCTCCCCGCGCGGGGCCCGGCCGGGAAGGGGGTGGGTGCTCGGGAGAGAGGGGTGCTCGGCAAAGAGGCCCAGAAGGGGAGCCGGGATGGAGCTCCTGGGGGGAGGGGGCAGCTGGCTCGATCTCAGGAGTGGAGCTTTGCCTTCCTTAAAATGCGGGTAGGAAATGTGCGGCGAGCGGGGAGCTGAGCTAGTGCCCAGAGTGCCTCTCACTCTCCACCCCACTCCATCTCCACCACCCCCACCCTCCTCTGCCCCAACCTGCACTGTGCGCCCTTCCCGGGAGGAGCTCTCTACCGGGCCCCAGGGCGGGCCACTGGAGCTCTGGCCGCCCCACAGACCCAAACCCGAGGTGGAAGACTGGCCTTAGCCAGGTCCTAAGCTCCTTGGCTGGGCTAAATATTGGGGGTCTAAAGGGAGGAGGCCAGGAGAGAAGACCGGAAGGCATCCAAGGGGCTTCTTTCTCCTCCTACTGGAGGAGTGAGAGTGTGGAGGCCCTGCTGCCTCAGTTTACCCATTCCCTCTTCAAAGGAGAACTGAGGTAACCTTAAAGTTGATAAACCTATCCAGCTCCTCTTTCTCCCAGAGTATAGGCTTTGCATTTTTCACTGGGGCCCTGGATTCCAGCCACCAGACCTTGTTACCATAGCAAGCTTCATTCCATGCAAATAGGACGATCTGAAACAGCCCTTGTAACCCGGAGGACAATAGTGCACCACCACCGGAGCTCAGTCAACCTCGGCAGAGTAGCTCAGAGCCCACTGCAGAAACTGGTGGGGAGCCCTGGCACAGACTGAGGGTGCCCACCCTTGAAATTTATCAGCATCTACTAAGTAGGAAACCTACTGTGTGCAAAGTGCTTAGGCTGCACTATCATCTCTTTGGAGTAAGGATTAGGAATTCTAACTGAGAGAGGAAGAAATTGAAGCTCTGGATGGGGGGTTAAGTGATTCACCCAAGGGGCCCCGCAGAAATCAGAGGAAACCAAGACCGGAAGTAAGCAGTCATCTGATTTCCAGTTAGTCCCACTGTGCCGTAGATGCTAGATTTTTATTTGGAACCATAAAAACCCACTCTTGCTCCAACCCCCTGGGGCCACTAACAAGCTTTTGTAAGAGGGCAAGGCAGTACTGGTGGAACGTGTGAATGCAGACACAATTTTTCACTGTCTGTTCTACTAAGCTAACTGGTCAGCTGGGGATTGAACCTCTGACCTGAGTCTCATTAGTAGGAATTCTGACCCACTGGACCAACCAAGGAACTTAGGCTGCTTGGTGTATCTGTAAATCAGGATTTAGTTCTTTGAAGTCCTTTGGTTAAATTACGGGGGAACCTAACTGTGAGTCTTCAAAAGGTGGGGGCTGTCATGGTTCAGCCAGTATGGAAAACGGTTTGGTGGTCCCTCAAAAAGTTATGCACGGAATTACCATATGGCTGAGCAATCACACTCCTGGGTATAGAGCCACAGAGTTGAAAGCTGATACCCCCAACCAAAGGTTGTAGGCAAATGTTCACAGAAGCACAATTCACAATAGCCAGAAGGTAGAAACAACCCAAATGTCCAACCACAGATGACTGGATAAACAAATGGCCGTATATCCATACAATGGGCTATTACTCGGCCAGGAAAAAGAATGAAGCAATGGAAAAAGAATGAAGCATTGATAATTGCCGCAGTGTGGGTGAAGGTCGAAAGCAGTCTGCTGAGTGAAAGAAGCCAGACGCAGAAGGTAACATGATTTCATTTCTGTGGAATAGCCAGACTAGGTAAATCCAGACAGATGTGGGTGTAGGGGCTGGGGGAAGAGGAGAATGAGGAATGGCTGCTTAATGGATACTGGGTTTCATTTTGGGGTGATAAAACGTTTTGGAAGTAGAGGAGGTAGTTGTGCAACATCGTGAATGTACTGAAGGCCGTTGAATTATTTGCTTTAAAATGGTGCATTTTAGGGGCCCCTGGGTGGCTCAGTCAGTTAAACATCTGACTCTTGATTTCAGCTCAGGTCATGATCTCAGGGTTGTGAGATCAAGTCCTGGGGTCCAGCTTTGTGCTGGGTGTGGAGCCTGCTTAAGATTCTCTCTCTCCCCCTCTGCCTCTACCCCCCCACTCTTAGAAAAAAGGTTCCTTTGATGTTATGTGAATTTCACCTCAATAAAAATAAAAGCACAGATGCAAATAGCAATAAAAGGGGGGGGGGGTGTCCTGGGAACAAACTCTCCCAGGAAACGAACAGGAGCAGCTCTATCTGGAGAGCTCACCGAGGGCTTCAGCTTCGGTGTGGGGGAAGGAGGGCGGTCAGTTTTCATGCATGATTTATCGTTGCATCCTTGCTACCTAACCCGTAGTAAGCCCTTTGCAAATGAGTATGTGTGAGCGTGTCTGTACAGTAAACAAAATGACCAAGTGTTACTCATTTTCCTCTTCGGTGAGATTATTCCCACCCACCAGAATCTTAAAATCAAGTCAAAACAAAACAAAACAAAAAAAAATCCAACAAGGAAAACAGAAAGCAAACACCCATTCCTTGAGTTCCTTCTCGTTTCTCTCTGCCTCCTCTTTTCCCCTTTTGTAATACAACCATTGAAATGTCAAGAAACTCACTTTAGAAACTCCTGGGGTGCCTCCTAGGATTGTAAAGAATTTTATATTTGAGAGATTGCTTCTTAACCTGAAAAGGGGGGCTTTTCCCAGCTGTGTCATCTTATGTTCACCCACATGCTAAAGGACCAGATCTCAGACAGAAGGCCTGGGATCAATAACCCTCTAGCATCCCTTCGATTTAAACCAAAAAGATTACTAGTCTACCCCCCAACTTCCGCCACCGCCCCTTCCTAGGTGATCTCAGGTAAAAAAATGGTCACAGAATCCACATCCCTGCCCCTTACCTAAATACCCTATTGCAAGCCCGCTTTGCCCATCTGCAGGCTGATGTGCTTTACAGCTCATTTCTTGGGAGACACATATAAAAGTGGGGGAGGGGCTCCTCTCTCCTTGGGATTCATGACTCTGAGCATGGGGCTGCGCATATTGTTAACATAGTCCCAGCTTCACAGCCCAGGCAACTGACATTAAGAACCATGCCAGAAATGGGCTTGCTTCATAGGGACGTGCTCCCATTTCCCAGTGTTCCCAGTTGCCCTCTTTCCCCATCTGCCAAACCCCATTCACAGCTCAGGCAGTGCACTGGTTGCCCTTGTGCACTCACCAGCCTCTGCCAGGATTCGCTGAGTGCCCCGTCTTCCTGAGCAGAATACACCATGTGCATTGGGTGCCCTTCAACGTTTACCTGTGCACTTTGGAAAGTCCGCAAAAGCATCCCCGCTCAAAGAAAAGAGAACTCCTAATAAGAACCAAGGCAGAGAGCCTAGCCCATTGCTGATAGCCATGTCCTATGCACCTCCCTTCTCCCATAAATAGAATGACCTTATAATTTAATGTCCAAACTGGGACACTTTTGAGAGCGAAAGAGGGTGTTATAAATAATGAAGCTGGGACCAGTGACATAAATTGGAACTGTCCCAGGAAACCCAGTGTATGTGTTTGGCCCACCCTGCAGCCAAATGAGGCTATCCGCTCCTACAAGACAACATCGGGGTCATTTATCCCAGCACTCCTGTTGTATACTGGTGGATGGAGAAACACAGAGCCAGAGACAGGAAGGAGCTGGGAGGGATAAAAAGCAGAGTCTTCAGGAAATGACCCATCATCCTACTAATGTGTACCCAGCACCAGAGACTGTCAGACTGGACCTTTGCTGCAGGGGCACTTCCTAAGCTCTAGATCTGAGAGCGACCTCGTGGTCTTGGGCAACCTGGCCTCTGACTTCATCATGTACCCCTCTCCCCTTGCTCACTACCCTCCCTTTACTTAATTGCTTTGTTAAGATGTAGATCCTTAGCCCCAAGACCGACGAACCAGAATCTCTGAGGAGGTGCCGGGATCTACATCTGCAACAAGCTTCCCAGGAGTGTCTGTTGGAGTGCGAAGTTTGGGACTCCCTGCCCCAGGCAGCCGAGGCAGGTGCTCATAGCGCACTGTGCGTGCGTGTGCGCTATGGACCTCAGGAATGTCTACAAGGGCTCCCTTGCCCTCCCTTCTGGCTGCTGCCTGTCCTGTCTTTCCCACCCTCCTCCACCCGAGAGTCCCTAGGGAATCACCCTCCCTCCTTCCCTGCAGACGGACGCTCTGTTTATTCAAATTGTCACATGCAAATCCCGGCCAATCTAGGAGTTGTATCTTTTGTCCACTGACACAGTTTACTTTGGCTGAGTGGGTTTTAGCATGTGCTGTGGGGAAAAGGGCAAAGCATCCCTCAGCCAGATGCACTCGGAACTTGGGCCTCTGGGCAATACCAGGAGGGGGGCAGAGCCGTGGACATCGAGGGGAGCGTGCAGGCCCTGAGCCCCAGCGGCGAAGCTGTCGTCCCTTCCTGGCAATTCTCCCC